GGACACCACAAACTATGCCACCTGGCTAGACCAGAGTCCTTTATAAGCATTATATTATCTGTAGATACATTGATTTATCATCTTCAGATATCTATGTACAAACATACATATCGATCCCAAATTCTATCCCAAAGGATATCGATAATCCATAGATCTGTATTCTACCTTCAGCATTTCTCTACTATATTCTCTCTTCTATGAAAGTAGGCTGTCTACTCAGCCTAACATTACTCCTTCTTCTACTCTTTAATCTATTTATTACCTTCCTTTCCTAGAGTCTCTGTTATGTTGATTTATAGACACTTGTATATATACTTGTCTTAGTTATTAGCTTGTAATTCCTGGAAAACAGAGACTATAGATCTCTTGTACATACTTCTATCCTCAGCAGTTAACCTACTGCACTGCAAGTAGTAGATATTTTAAAATGTTTATTCAGTAAGTGAATGAAAAGAGGGGAAATGGACCTGTTAGTGGCATGGAGGTTAAGGCACTAGATCCCACATGGCCAGTTACACAGTTTGAGTCCCAGGGTCAATGGCTTGAAAAACAGTCCAGGCACATGCATGTGTGTGCCCAAAATTCTGAGGGGAGACTGGAAGAGAAGGGATTGCAGCATGGCCACCCACCCTTAAAGGATGATTTCTGACCCCCCCCCACCCTCTGTCTTTTTATCAGTCTCTCTCAGCAAAAATCTAAAAAGAAAAGGAAAGAAAAGAGGAGAAACATCCCAGTTCAGGCTACCATTTAACACAATTTCTGGGGGTCCTGTCACTAGAATACATGTTGAGTTCCATGGAGTTGGGCAAAACAGCTGCTCTGATGCCATGTTCTTTACACCTAGGTTAATGGTTCTCATAATTCTGTAATATTTAATATTGAATGGTAATTCCTACTGGAAAAAAAAAACATATAGCAAAACAAGAGTAAAAGCATAGGAACCACGCTAAGAGGATAATTACATAGTTAAGGCAAAAGTCCTGATTAAGGAAAACTATTACAAGTCAATATTAACCTAACTTTGAGACTCCCCATTAGCCAAAGAGAAAAAAGAAAAGTAATGAATTTTAGTGTGTTTAAGAAAACAACTATTTAGAGCCAGCATATGGTGTGGTGGGAAGGTGCAGGATCCCACTTGGTGGACTCAGCAGCTTGTAAAACATGCTAGGCAAGTGTACATGTGTGCCCAAAATCCCAAGAGGAGAATGGAGAAGGGATTGTGGTGTGGCCATCCCCCAGGAGAGTAACTTCTCACTTTCCCTCTCTGTCTCTCTCCAATGAATGCACACACACTCCATGGCAAAAATGTAAAATACAATCAAACAAAAAAACTATTCATCAGAAGTTACTAACAGGAAGTACACCTAGACTCTAAGAAATATTTATCATGTGTTTTATGGACAACAAAATGAACATATATTTTTATAAAAGTAGCAGCTAGAGGAGTTTTAAAATATGCAGAAACAATCTTCATAAAAATTTTAATACATCAATCCTTAGTGAAACTCCATTTTATAAATTTGTAGCCCCACAAAAGAAATTTTCATGGAGCACTAAAGCAATAAACTTCAGCTATGTATATTTTTTGATGATCTGTGTTGTCACAGGAATAGAAATTACACAGTCTCTTAGTAGATACTATAAATATGAGTTGGTGTGCACTAATATACTAATTAGTACAGTTGCCTCAGTATTCATTTGAGCCTAAATCAGCAAGTTAAAATTTAGGAAAGCAGTTCTTCCTTCTAGTCTTTCTCTTATCAGGACTGTTTTCATGATGTATTTCTTAAGGCATATACTTTTGATGTTGAAAGACAATTCAGATTACTTAATCCTTGAAACTTCTCTAGTACCCAGGCCCAAATTTATTTTCTTCAGCCCAGGAAAGCAAAGAAAAATGATAAATTTTACTACTGGGGGTTAGATTTTTACTTTTCTTTTTCTACTAAACATACTCTCTTTGTTCTGTAGGGGTTTTTTAATTTTTTTTTTAGTATATCTCATTTATTAATTTATTTCAATTTAGTATATTTTGTTTTATTTTAATTTCTTTTATACAGTCAGTCACTATACAACACTTAGCTTATAAAGTAAATTTTCCACTGTAGTTTTAATGTTTTGTAGAACAAGAATAGTCTAGAAAGGGCTTGCTCTTTTCCTTCATCTTGGCATCTTTTTTCTTTAGAGAGATTTTTTTCTATAAGATGTGTATGCTTGCTGGAGAGACAGAGAAACAAAAATCAAGAAATCACACCCTCCCTCCAGGGAGGTATGGCCATGCCACAATCCCTTCTCCTCCATTGTCCTCTCAGGAATTTGGGCAAGCATGCACATGCACCCGGTGTGAGTTTAATCCTCTGGGTCTAGAACTCAAACTGCAGTCAACTACCTGGGAGTCCAGTGACATAACCATTATTCCGTCTGTTTGTCCCATCTCGGCATATTAAACTCTGCCTAACAGCCCTTTACATCTATTTCAAAAGGAAAAGAGAAGAATTGTCATCTTCTCTAATTCTTCCCTCCCCAGGCCCTCAGAAACCTGACATATCACTATTCATTGGTAGCTAGGAGTGCTGCAGAGCTCTCCACCTGATGGAAATCTCTAGATGTAGAATTCTTTCATCTTCCTACTTTTGCTTGCTGAATGATGTCTGAGCCCAGCATATCTTTTTATAACTCTACATTTGTCAGCATCAATATGATTAAAAACCTTTTCAAGAGGTAATAGATGTCACCTTTCTGGTTTCATACGTACAGTCTGATTTAGACTGTTACAGTCTGATTATCTCGCTGGACTCCCATGGTTTGAACAAAACTAAGCAGATGTCCTAGATATCTTGTTTTATGGATTCATAAAGTGATAGCTCAAAAGTTATGATAGTGAAGAATTTTTGAAGTACAAGGTTATGGGGACAATGTGCATATGTCAGGAGAGGGGGGAAAAAAGCTTGTTTGCAAATATCTAAGAAATGAATAAAACCAAAGTAATTTTAAATCTGTTATGTTTTTATAATTTAATATGTCCAAATCACTGCTGCAGTCTTCTGAGTGACACATTTGGGGTGAGGTCTGTGTCTTAATGGCACATCACACCCAGTACTTTTTTCTGAAGCATGACTCCTTGTCCACTTACTAGAGCCCTGTATCTTCCAGTGTTCCAGAGAGGAGCAGAGTGCTGGTCTGCTGTCAGTTAGATCAGAACACCCAGTCAGCAATGTGGGGGGGCATACCTGTTTAGGCTTCAGCTTTCTAGATAGTTCCATATATCCTTGGTTCTTTGCTTTGATTGCCTATTTATTAAGTCAATAAAACCTGCTATATTTCATTTAATATAAATGAAATATAGCCGAACTGCATTAACCCACTCCCACCCTCCATGCACACACATCCACTGAACCATACCCTTGTCCTACCTCATAGGTCTTTGAATGATAAATGTGCTATTGGTTTGAAAGGGTTTGGTAACATTAGAGCATGTCTTACAGGTTGGGAAATACTCTTGCATCATTTCTTTCCATCCCCACAACAGCCCAAGTAAAATAAATGGTAAAGTATAATTAATACTCCCTTTTGGTGGTTTTGAAAACAGAGTTCCAAAGGAGGTAAATGTCTTGCCAGGATCAAATTTTTAAAACCACAGGTTCCGCCCCTCAAGGCAGCATAGTACTGAGAGCTTCTCTGCACTGCCACCTGCCTATGGGTGACACTAGACACATTGTTTAACCTCATTCAGCCTCAGTTTCCTTACCAAGTAAATAATGCTTAGCTCAAAAAATGAGTAAGAGAGATTAAATAAAATAATGTCTATGAAAGTACTATACTTCAATGTTTTGTTTCTCTTATTTTCTGGTTCATTTTTTATTATACAGTATTTTATTTTAAAAAATACTTTATTTTCTAGAATACATTTTCCCATTAGAGATTCCCATAGTGGGAAAATAACAATTAATTTCTTATAACTTTATTTTTGTTAGAAGATTACTTTAGGGATCAGCAGTTAGCATAATGGCTATCTCGCTGGACTCCCATGTAGTCCACCATGGTTCGCGTCCCGGACCCAGTGGCTTAAAACTCATGCCAGGCGCATGTGCGTGCGTGCGTGCCCAAGATCCCGAGAGGAGAATGGAGGAGAAGGGATTTCGGCGTGGCCATCCCCCCTGGGGGGTGATTTCTCGCTTTCTGTCTGTCTCTCTCTGTCTGTCTGGTGAGCATACGCGCCCTAAAGCAAAAACCTCTCAAAAAAAAAAAAAAAGATTACTTTAGTACAAGTATAATACATTTTAATGTTATGTCTCAGTTCAGAATTTGTATATTTTCACACATCTACAGAGTGAACCTCTTCCCTAAATGAACTTCTCTATATTCAGAAGCTAATATTTTCTTCCTAGAATTGAGACATTCTTCACATGGGTATTACCATTCCCTCATTTTAAAGTTTCCCTAGGAATATAACCCTCAGTAGTTCATCATCAACTGAACAGAGGGAAAGTTTTCCAAAATTAAACACTGTCTAATTTTCTGCCAAGTCTTTACCCACAACGTGGTATTCTTTCCCTTTGTCCATTTTCCCAGGACCAATGTGTAAGTTTGATCATGTCTTGATAGTAATAAAGCTGAATTCTGTTCATGAGATTGATGTATTAAACAGCAAAAGCTCATATATAATGTTTAATTATACTGAGTCTTATGAGAAGTATGGAGATTACCCCATTAACTCACCAGGATACAGGACTTGCTCTCATAATCTCTGGATACCTTTCAAACCTTTTCTTCAATAATTTCATTCTGAAAATAACCAAGTGATTAGGAGAAGATACCTGTCCACCAATGGACTTCTCTGTTATTTCCTCCTTATTATGCGTTCACCAGCATAGCAAAGTAAAGCAAAGAGGCACACAATTTTTAAAGTATTGTATCAAAAAGGTCAGTGCTTCCACAGCATGGCAACAGCTTTACAGATGCTCTCATCATGACAGTGAAATAACAAAGCCCAACAAAAGTTAAAGCTGAGAGTGCCAAAAGGCCTGCCTTGGCAGCTTTCCGCCATGCAACCCCGTGAACACAGTCAATAACAACTTGTCCAAGGCCTGGTGACCATGGAGAGTGAGGGCTGTAGCAGGGAGTAGTTCATCACAGGAGCAAGGATTCACATAAGCAGCTGGAAGCAGACCCAGGAGCAAAACACTAAGAACTCTCTCACTCGTCCAGTGTAGAGATACAGCTTTGGAACCAGTGATGTGTTAGTGACAGGTGAATGTGCTGCACTCCCTTCACTCCACACCATCCTGGGGTACGTCGGTCTGGTAGAAAGGTGGAGAGAGGAGCATGTCTGACCACTGGGGTCCGGAGGAATAGAGTTCGGCCTCCTTGGGAACTGCAGAGGACAGTAGGCCTCCAGAGAACTACCATCTTTTTTCCTCAGGGCTCAAGTGCAGTGCTAATGCATGTCTCAGGGCTTCTCTGCGCACACATGCGTGCATGCCCATGACTCTGGCTGGCCAAAGCTGGGGGTAGATCCCAGCACAAAGACACTTCTGGGGATGCCTGTCTTTCTGGATGTCTTTCTTTCTCTCCATCTCTCTGTTTTTCTTTATTTTTTTATGGGAGAAATAAAGTTTTTTTAAAAAAAGAAACACATCATTGAAACTAGCTGGAAAAAAATCAGCCACTAAGTAAATAGTGTGTATTTACAAGGACTACATACACTCATACCAATATGTCGTGATGGTTGTTCTTGTATTCGAAGGTTTAGTAATGTCATCAGAGCCCACACCCGCCTAGAGTCCAGATACAGCAATAGCTCTGGAGGATCGTATGATGAGGATAAAAGTAAGTACCAATAAACTGGGAATGTTTGGATGGGATAACAATGGTTAGAGAATGGAAAATTAGTGTTTTGATTATTCTTGTTCTAATCTCTAAAATTGGAACCATAAAAATTAAGCAGTCATTTAGTCCAACTATACAGGTGTAGATAGAGTCAGAACCTTTAAAGAAGGAGAAGAAGATGATGACAAACAGTGACAAAAATTCAAACTACTATCCAATCCTATATTTTTATATTCTTGGCATTTTCCCTTGATGATGCAATTGAGGAAAGGCTGGCATTTCATTCTGAAAATAACCAAGTGATTAGGAGAAGATACCTGTCCACCAATGGACTTCTCTGTTATTTCCTCCTTATTATGCGTTCACCAGCATAGCAAAGTAAAGCAAAGAGGCACACAATTTTTAAAGTATTGTATCAAAAAGGTCAGTGCTTCCACAGCATGGCAACAGCTTTACAGATGCTCTCATCATGACAGTGAAATAACAAAGCCCAACAAAAGTTAAAGCTGAGAGTGCCAAAAGGCCTGCCTTGGCAGCTTTCCGCCATGCAACCCCGTGAACACAGTCAATAACAACTTGTCCAAGGCCTGGTGACCATGGAGAGTGAGGGCTGTAGCAGGGAGTAGTTCATCACAGGAGCAAGGATTCACATAAGCAGCTGGAAGCAGACCCAGGAGCAAAACACTAAGAACTCTCTCACTCGTCCAGTGTAGAGATACAGCTTTGGAACCAGTGATGTGTTAGTGACAGGTGAATGTGCTGCACTCCCTTCACTCCACACCATCCTGGGGTACGTCGGTCTGGTAGAAAGGTGGAGAGAGGAGCATGTCTGACCACTGGGGTCCGGAGGAATAGAGTTCGGCCTCCTTGGGAACTGCAGAGGACAGTAGGCCTCCAGAGAACTACCATCTTTTTTCCTCAGGGCTCAAGTGCAGTGCTAATGCATGTCTCAGGGCTTCTCTGCGCACACATGCGTGCATGCCCATGACTCTGGCTGGCCAAAGCTGGGGGTAGATCCCAGCACAAAGACACTTCTGGGGATGCCTGTCTTTCTGGATGTCTTTCTTTCTCTCCATCTCTCTGTTTTTCTTTATTTTTTTATGGGAGAAATAAAGTTTTTTTAAAAAAAGAAACACATCATTGAAACTAGCTGGAAAAAAATCAGCCACTAAGTAAATAGTGTGTATTTACAAGGACTACATACACTCATACCAATATGTCGTGATGGTTGTTCTTGTATTCGAAGGTTTAGTAATGTCATCAGAGCCCACACCCGCCTAGAGTCCAGATACAGCAATAGCTCTGGAGGATCGTATGATGAGGATAAAAGTAAGTACCAATAAACTGGGAATGTTTGGATGGGATAACAATGGTTAGAGAATGGAAAATTAGTGTTTTGATTATTCTTGTTCTAATCTCTAAAATTGGAACCATAAAAATTAAGCAGTCATTTAGTCCAACTATACAGGTGTAGATAGAGTCAGAACCTTTAAAGAAGGAGAAGAAGAAGATGATGACAAACAGTGACAAAAATTCAAACTACTATCCAATCCTATATTTTTATATTCTTGGCATTTTCCCTTGATGATGCAATTGAGGAAAGGCTGGCAAGGAATTGTTCTACTAGGAAATAAATGTTGCAGTTGAATGTTTCAGTCTCCCTTGGGAATGGATTCAACCTTAAAGTTTCGTGAGTCTGTTCACCCAGTATAGGACCTGATTTCAGTTTGACCCTCTCAATGTCATAGTCTCAGTAGCCAAGTGAAAACCTTGTTAAACTGGAACTAGCTTGTATTAGGAATTTCTTTGCACCTTGGTCAGTTGGGAAAAATTAAAAGATCAATACATTTATTGATTTTGTTTAAACCCTGTACAGCTTTTATAGATACTGACAGGTCCAGAGTAGTAGTTGGTCACAAGTTACAGAAATTCTGGAACCAAAACATGTTCTCAGTGACATTTAGGTATGCTAAGGAAATCAGTAAACTATCCTAGGGAATGTATTTTCCCTTTTGGTGTAAATTATAAATATGATAGTATTTCATGAGTTCATTTTGTAAGTCAGTGCTTAGGGCCTTTGTAGCTGTTGGTTTTGAAATGTTTTGTTTTTATGAGAAATGCGCAGAGAAAGGTGAGAGCTTAGTAGTTCCAATGGCATTTAACTGCCTATGCTTTACTTCTTATGCATAGTAAACAGTTCTCCATCTTCAAAATATCATTGGAGGAAAGGTCCAACACCCTTCCTTATAGATAATTGTCATACGCTAACCTAGGTTAAGTTTCAGCTATATCTTTTTTTTTTTTTGAGAGATTTTCACTGTAGGGCGCATGCGCTTGCCAGACAGACAGAGAGAGACATAGAGACAGAAAGCGAGAAATCACCCCCCAGGGGGGATGGTCACGCCGCAATCCCTTCTCCTCCATTCTCCTCTCGGGATCTTGGGCACACATGCACACGCGCCCGGCGTGAGTTTTAAGCCACCGGGTCCGGGACACGAACCGCGGTCGACTACGTGGGAGTCCAGCGACATAGCCATTACGCTAACTGCTGGTTCCCAAGTTTCAGCTATATCTTGAAAACGTTTACTAAAACTGCCAATAGGTAATTTAAAGCTCTTTCCTGTGCCCATTCAGATGACTGTACCATCCAAATACAGAACAGTCGAATTTCAGGACCACAGATCATTAGTTCTAGGTGGGACCATATTTTACAGATGAGGAAAATAGTATCCAAGAAATGGAGAGATGTTGGATAAGAAGTCTGACTATGAGACAATATTTAATAATCCAAAAGTTGAGAACAGAGAAATTAAATTGTGAAAAGTTTAAGCAGACCAGCCCAGTGGTGTAGTCAGTAGCATACTGAACTGCAATATTGGAAACCACCTGGCTGACTACTGGTTCAAATACTCAGCCCAGTTACCCTGAAATGCACTGGGCACACACACCTGCCCAGAATCCTGATGAGCTGAAGAGCTGGGTGAAGGGAATCACAGCCTGTTGGGACCCTGTCTGGATTTCTTCTGTCTCACTCATGAGCGCATGCACTCTCTCACTCTCTCCCCCTCTCTCCTGCACATGCTCTTTAATGAATTATTTTTAAATTATTCTAGGGACCAGCAGATGGCATAATGGTTGTGTCACTGGACTCCCATGTAGTCCACCATGGTTTGAATTCCAGATCGGAGACTTAAAACTCACATCAGGCATATGTGCATGCGTGCCCAAGATCCCAAGAGGAGAATGAAGGAGAAGGGATTGTGGCATGACCATCCCTCCATGGGGAGTGCTTTCTCGCTTTTTGTCTCTCTGTCTCTCCAGTGAGTGTACATGCCCTATAGCAAAAATCTGTCTAAAAAAAATAATTATAAGTATTCTAGGGACCAGCAGATGGTGTAATGGCTATGTCGCTGGACTCCCATGTAGTCGACAATGATTTGAGTCCCGGACCCAGTGGCTTAAACTCAATGCCAGGCATGTGTGCATGCGTGCCCAAGATCCCGAGTGGAAAATGGAGGAGAAGGGATTGTGGCATGTCCATCCCCTCTTGGGGGGTGATTTCTTGCATTCTTTCTCTCTGTCTCTCTGTCTTTCTGGTGAGCACACACACCCTATAGTAAAAACCTCTCCAAATAATAATAATAATAAGTATTCTAATCCTGACTTCCTTAGAATGTGACAGGCATGGCATAAGAAAATATAATATTCTATTACAGTGGATTTTACATTAGAAATATTGCTATATTTCAGCCAGTTGATTTCTTTAAAGTATATAGGAACACCATAATAAATAAAACAACAATCATTTTGAAAATACAGCTATTATTAAAACCTCACAGTCTTTATATTTATTAAAGTAGTGTATTTCAGCGGATAATTAGGATAAAATGAGATAGTATTGGGTCATTCAAAAAGTCATGACATATTTTTCTGTTTTTCTATACAAAAATGTGTGATGACTTTTCCGATGACCCAGTAATTACATCAAATCACTGATGTTAGGAACAAAACGAAAGTGATAGAAGCATTTGTAAAAAGAGTAAAAACTATTAGTGTGAATTCAGATAAGGCATAAAAAGAAGTATAGTCTTATCATGTGACCTCTATTTTACCTATATATATTTATAAATATGTTGTGCCAGTGTGAGTAGCATTTTAACTAGAAAATTTCCATACAGATTTTGAATTCAGTTGAGTTATGTATTAATAATATCCTTATCCCACCGCACTAGCACTTGAACAGTATCACCACTTGAGAGGCTGGAAGCTGATGGGAGTTCTGGGTTTGGTTCCCCAGACAACCTGAACACACAGGGCACAGTTGTATGTACCAATACTCTGAGCTAATTGAGAAGCCAGAGCAAGAGAATTGCAACACAGCAAGAATCTATCAACAATACCTATTTCTTTCTCTCTCTGTTTCCCCCTCTCTTTGTTTTCCTCTCTCCTCCTCTCCCTTTCATAAAGGAAAATAATAATAACAGTAATAATGTTCTTTACATGATTACTATTATTGACCACAAAAGTTAGAGTTAATAGTATACAGTTTGGTCTCTGAGAGCTTATAGTTTTATTGTATG